TGCCCGTTGCTGGTTGGCTAACTAGCAACAGGGTCTTGCCAGCCAATGGAATTGTGTGATTACAAGCCAGGGGAATCCCATAAAAGAGGGCTCCCCTGGCCCAGAGAGCCAGTCCGGATTTACTTTATGCCTTGCCAATAAACCAAGAGCTGACTGTCACTCGACTCGTGTCTTACTGCCTGCGCGATCTAACAAAAACTTTTTCAGAATTTGCAGTATCTTTTTTTCCCCTTAATTTTTAAATCACTGCCATGCAACCGCTTGGATGTAGATGTGATTTTCTTACTAATGTTTTGTTCTTTAAAATTAAATGAAATTCCATTTTTCCTGATAGATCTCTACTTATTTAACTTACAACTACCACTAAACCCTTTTTCAGTAAGTACAATTCTGACGAATATAAGCATTCACAGAGAATGTATTCCATTTCAACTAACAACTCATCTATTGAATTATCATTTTGCAATCTAACCTGAACAATATGCCTCAGTTGCTTGGCTGATGCCTGAGTTCTTTTGCTACAAAAAAAACCTTAATTACATATTGCTCAAGAGCTATAGCATTTTCAAATAATAGTTTGAGATTCTTTACAATCATTTATGATACAACACATGGGTTTTGCGAAAGCTTATTTCTCTCATTATTGCCAATGGCCAACTTTCATAAATTGAACAATAAACAATGCAATCTAGAATTCAATACTAATTTTGCTGGTTAGCTGTAGGACTAATATTTGTTATTGCAGAATCAGGCTGGAGATAGCTAATTTCAATAATTAGCAGTAGATTAAAAATGTGTCTGATTTTTAATTATTTAAGCATCGCAGGAATAAAAATACTCTGAAATGATGAAAGCTTGTGATAATTGGGAATAATTTTTGTGGTCTCCAATAACATTAACACGGATTTGTTGTACACCAGCCTTTGGTTGGTATATTTTGTAGGTCTGGTAAAAAGAAAGCAGAACATAGTAACATGGAAGCAAAGTAGATTGAATCTAATTTATCCAGTATGGCACTGCAGTTGTCAGTGCTGCCATCCTGCTTTGTCTCATCACTACGTCACTGATACCAGACTGCTATAAAATCTCTCTCTCTCTCTCTCTCTCTCTCTCTCTCTCTCTCTCTCTCTCTCTCTCTCTCTCTCTCTCTCTCTCTCTCTCTGTATCTGTGTGTGAAGGAAGCTAGCAAGTAGGGAAGGAGAACAATGAAACTGAAACCACTTTGAGTGCCTGCCAGAGACATCAGCTGACTGACCCCAAGGTCACAACCATGGGAATGGAATGCGGACCATAACCCAAGCCTGTTAAGCCTCCGTACCAAAACAATTTGTTGGACACAAGGAGGTAGTTGGGAGTGAGGACCTGGGAAAGGGGAAAGTAAGTAGGCAGCTTTCGTATTGTGGGAAGTCAGCCCCCCAGAGAAGAAAATATTAAAAGGGCAGAAAAATATATTTCCTCAAAGGATCTTAAAAATGCAGGAAAGCATGCCTTGTTTTTCTTAATAGCCCCAGGTCTCCCTTCTCCAAGCAGAAACCAGCTCTATAGAGATGCAGATGTAAATCCAGGGAGCTAGGAGATTAAGAAGACAGAAGACCTAAAATCTACATACCCCATCCAAACTCTTAAGAGTCATCAGCCCCAGGAAAGCAGGATATGACATAATAAGATTGGACATAATAAGATTGACCCATCACCATCAGAATACCAGAAAGGCACACTCAGACTCAGGTCAAAGTTCATGCCACAGGAACAACTCCAAACAAAAGGGTCCAGAGGGTATAAAAACCCACTTCCTACATGTGCTCAGTCCTTTTTTTCACTTCTCTTGCTGCCAGAACCATCTTCCTGTCTGGCTCTCCTCTCCAATAAACTACAACCTTCTTCCCAAAGCAGTTGCCATGTTTATTCTCAGCTTGGATGAACCATGATGAAGACTTTTCTTCCAACAATGTTCAACCCTCAGATCTGGCTTTTTCTATCCTGCAACCACTTGGCTTTAGCAAAAGTATCCCTTTCCCTACAAATGCAGTCAAAGGCTTTCTTTCTAAATGACCAGGTTAGGGCAAACCCAACAGCAGTTCTCCAAGAGGCATGGAAAGAAATGGTGAAATATAATATAGAACCCACAAGTAAAACAATTCTAGCTGCTAGTAATTTATGCATCTAGCACAGTCTTAATTTCTTTCCTATGATCAAGGACTAAGACAGCAGTTTTTCCAATCTAGCTCTCCAATAAATTGCTAATACGCTTTGTTTAGCTTAGAAACTATTTCCTGGATCTTCTTATGCTCATTTCTTCCTCCATCTGTATTCATTAGAGTTTAAAAGGAACATCCTGTGTATAACGATGGCAAGCTGTAGACCAACACCATTTGTTTTAAGAAACATAATAATTCCATGGGAAGTACTGAACAGACTTCCACCTGACTGAATGTATTTTCTGTGCAAAAGCTCTACAGAAACCAACTTTAAAATGTTGACATTTCTTGCTACCTCTTTTATTCTTCTCTCACCCTGGTCTCTCTCTTAAACCCACATCATTTTTCCTCCTGAAATAATCATCACACCAGCCTGCCAGTAAATTCTTTACATGTGAATGTTGCTGGAATTCAGAAGTGGAACTGATGCACATTAGGGATTCCAGAGAGAACAATTACTGAAATTGTTGGAATGTGACGCTTTCAGCATGCAAGCATGCTCACACACACACACACACACACACACACAGGAAGTAACCGACAATGTGCCCTAACCTTGTGTGGAAAAAAAATAAAGACTTGAAAGAAAAAGAAGAGCCCCCCCCCTTTTTTTGGGAAAATGCTGCATTGTTCAAATAAATTTCCTGAGAATACGATTTTGCTTTAACTACCGCAAGTTGGTCTCATTGCAATTTCATCTCTGAATTATCAACTGAAATAACATTCATTTCAATTAAGCAAACAAAGCAGAAAAGAGAAACATTAAAATGATCTGATGGAGACAAAGAGAATCTCTGGCAATCAAGAAGTCTCAAAACTTACTTTTCATGCAAACCCTGCTATCTATACAATTCCCCTCTTCTTAGGGGAAACCATATTCAATTTAAGCTAAAAAAAAGTGCTTATAACTTTGATGAGGAAGATCTGTACACATTATAAAAAGTCTTTTCATGTAAGATTCATTTTTATGAGCATAATAATCCTCAGTAGGTTGTTTTGGACAGTATATTTTCTTCTTAGTTGCATAAAAGGATTCCCCCCCCCCTGGGTTGCTGATTCTATGAAAAGCAGTTAAAGTCATAATAGACCAGTAGGAATTTTACAGACTCCTACCTTGATTTGGGTTAGAAACCCCAAGAGAAGATATATTCGGCCATATCTTATCATACTTTGGAGGAGCTGCATGTATTGGGGGGGAAAAATTAGGATTTGTTATTTACAATATGCGATAGATTTTTAAAATTTTTTTAGCTTTGTATCTAAGCACATGGGTATGGAGAACAACACAGAGCACAGACATCTATCACTGGACTTCGTCAATGAAACATTAGGACAATATACATCACTGCCACATTGAACAAACAGAAGCAATTGATGATTCCCAAAACATTGAATGTACATTTAAAGATTTTGTGTACTCATATGATAATGTTTTATCTTCTATAATTTAACAGATACCATTTAATGTAGAGGATATTTATTACCTGGTTCTCTCTAAATCAGTGGCTTCTACAGAGTAGGGAAGATTGCCTACTTCTTTAGCAGCATAATGGATAAGGATGGCAAGTGGGAGTTTCAGCTGTTTGTTTGATTATTTGTTTAGATTTTTCCCTCTGGACAATTTCCTGGTTCTAGGCATCAAATGGTACTATTAGTCAGTAACCTTATTCTTGATGTTCAGGAATTGCATACTAAGATTCCTCATTAAATCAAGCAGACAAAAGTCTCAGCCTAAATCTAAAAATAAAAAGAATGATTTGGGCCAATATTGACAACACTGTTTATGTACCAAAACAACAAATTGGAATAATTATATTCGAACTCTTAGAATACATTGCATTTTGTACCATTGAACTTTGCTGGGGTGCCACCCGACTTACCATGCTTCTATCCATCTATTCCTAAAATGCAAAGTGGAATTTAACCACACATTCCTTGGACACTCTTATCTGATTTACAAGTAATCAAATTTCAGTTTCTTCTTTCCATCTCACTGCATCTTGTTACCTATCTGGGAAACTTTCTTGAACTACAGGATGGTTCACACGTGCATGTGCATCACAGTGTTGACTGATGATTATCAAGTTTTTTTATGATTCCTAGTGACCAGATTTATAGATTTTCTCCATTGTAATCTATTCCTAATCTGGTCTTTTTACACTGTACTTCTACAGTGTACCTTTAAGTGCAATGTACACTTAGAATTAGCAATGGAATGAGTGAACCACGGATGAGATGTGAAATGAAAGTTTTCTCTGGTGCATATAGTTTTGATGCTCAATTTATGCACTGATGTTACATCTGAAGCCAATGAAACCAGTTATGAAAAAAAAACCGAAAACAAATTAGCGACTGCTTGTATAGACTTCTATGGTATCTACACCATGCTACTACTCTGCATAAGTTTGCTTCTTGTGAAGAGAAGCTGTGGTATCCATAATTCTATTTAAACTAATAACTCTGAATATAAGACTATTTAACTTTATTTTTTTTTCACAAAAGTCGAAGAATAATACAGAATGTTAGAGTTGGAACGATTCACTAAAGTCACCTAATCAATTGTTTAGTATGTTTTTTAAGACTTGTCATGTTTAAAGAAAATAATAAAGTATGCTGCCATGTCAAACCATTTATTTTCTATAAACAAATTCTCTGCTTCTCTTACAAATACTAAAAATATACATAGAAAGCTGTGGGTTTGGGTATGTAATACTTATGAGAAAATCAGCTAGTGTCACATAGTGAAAAGTATTTTGCAATTTCCAAAAAACCATCTATGTTTGTGCATGCGTTATACAATAATTTTTATTATAATGGAACCAAATTTGATTCTGTTTCATATTTCATATGAAATATCTATAGCTATTTTTTTTAAAAATGGATAGCATGTAACACTTTTCTATAACAGAAAAACATCCACTTTTTGTGAGGTTAAAATTGTTTGAATTCTCATTTAATATGCTTTTTAATATTGTATTACTAAATATCCTGATCATTCTGACTTGTTTTATCTTGATTTCCTATTATCATATCAGTCTGATTTTACTTCTTTAACCACAGCTAAGTACTCTTCTATAGCTTCTATACTCTTCTGTAGTACAGTATGCTGTGGTATCTCTTTTAACTCTTCTTAGATATTTTAGAACAATTATTATTTTTTCTTTTTAATCCTAATTAATTGTAATTTTCTTGTTTTACTTACTGGTGTACGAACGAATAAAAACGGATAAAAATTAATCCTTTTTGTAATCTCATGCACTGTTCCTCACCTAAAGCACTATGGTGTAGTTTAATAGAATGACTTGACACCTCAATTAATTGCGTGTTTTTTCTGTTGGGTAAATGAGTAGTTTGGTTACATATTTTTGTTATGGATGCTAAACTGTCATTCATTTTATTCTACCTATTTAAAGCAACAAATTACAGTTTCCAGATAAGCTTAATAATTTAAAGTCTAGCCAAAACAGACAAATTTGGGTCAGTATTATTATTATTATTATTATTATTATTATTATTATTATTATTATTATTATTATTATTATTATTATTATTATTATTGTTATTGTTATTGTTATTATTGTTGTTGTTGTTATTGTTGTTGTCGTTGTCGTCATCATTATTATTATTATTATTATTATTATTATTATTATTATTATTATTATTATTATTATTATTATATAATCTGTTGCTAAATTAGACAAAGTTTATGTAAATTCCTATCTCTCCAAACATTTCCCAGGAAAGAAATTATTTCAGTTCCTGTTTTTCCCTTGTCATGTTGCTTGCCACTACTAGATTTGTAATCTGCCTAGAATATGCCCAAGTTAACTGTCCTGCTAAATAATGTTCTAGAGAATGGCATGCAACAGAAGACTGTTTTCTGATTAACATTAAGGCTTACATAGGCATCATCTGTTCACCTGAGTTCCATATTTTTTTTAACCCAATAGTTAGTTAGGGGAAGTCATTCTGAGCATGTATGTGGCTATGGAATGTTGTTGTTTTTCTTTGTAAAAAAAATCCTTTTAAAGTAAGTACATCTTTATTTCAACAAAGTAAAACTTGTTCCTAAGTAAATGTTATCTGGCATTAGTTCAGTAGAGGCAAATACTATTTTCTTCCAGTAGTCATAGTAAGATTAAAATGAAAATCTTAACACATTTTAATCTTTTTTTATGGAGTGGGCAAATAATTGGCTGTGTTCCGTTTGTGCTGTAAGTGCCTGTCCATTTAGTTGTAGAATATGGTATGTGTATAGGAGAAAGAGAAGTAATGTTTAGGAGCTAAGTAACTGAATTACTAATGTACATGCATATGTCATCTCACCATTCATAAATCCATTATGTCCATTTTAATGTATTCAATGGCAATAGTACAGTTAGATCACTAATTTTAAAGTACAAGATTTGAAAGCCGTGATAGGAAAGTGTCTTCTGGGAACTGTGTTGAGCTAATAGATGCTGCTTAAATCAATAGGACTTACTTTCTACTATACTAGGTGTGTGCTAGATTTGTGATTAAACAAATTTAGTTGTTCTGGAAATTTTAGAGTCAGGTTAAATGCATAATTACACATACTGTACATTAGGATCTTATTTTTTTTAACCCCAAAGAATAATGGCTGCCCATCTACAAGCATATCTGGGAAGAGCTAATTATCTAAATCTATTATTGCCTGACTTTAGATTTGGATATAATCCAGAAACAGTTCTTCTTGGGATGAGACATGGAAAATGCTAGTATGTCGCTTCTCCAAACAATCCAAGTCAAGGAATATTGCTGGAATAGAACAGGGGTTTGGGAATTGGAGGCACAGAATTTGTGTAAATTAAATTCTTACTGGCAAGTCCATCATCAGAAATCAGCAATAGGAGATTTCTGTTTGGCTCCAGGGAGCTTGTATTGTGATCTTCCAAAGGATTCTATTCTTTCCTCCCTGCAGTTCAATATCTACATCAAGTCAATAGAACCCTGATTATGCTCTCTTTTCTACCCGAATCAGGGAATGTTGCCTGACAAAAGTGATGGGCTAGGTAAGAACAGGAATCTGAAACTGAAATGAAATAACATGGTAATATTGTGGAATAAGGTTGCATTCTCTCCAAAGGAATAGATCCCTACAAGGACAGGTGGTTGCAGTAACAAGGAAGACATGGGCCCAACTCATACTGCTAAATTAAAACCCTACCTGGGTTCAGGATAATACCAATGAACATTCTCTAATAATTTCTTGATGGTATACAGTACTATAGTGTAATTTATGTCTGGTTACCTCCCAAAATGGCCACAAAGATGCCATTAGTACAGATGCACAATTGTTAAGTAAGGTGGCAAAATGTAACACCAGTCCTGAAAGCTGTGCCCAGGTTGTCAGGCAACTATTAGAGTCAATTGATGTGTTGTCATAAGTTTGCAAAACCTTAACATGCATATATTTAAAATATTGGTTTCCTAAATGTCAGTCGATCTGTGCATTAGAACCAAGACCTGGCTCTTTCCCCAAGCGTTGGGCTAAGATGGAGATTAAGCTGCAAGGATGATTGGTCTGGCACCTGGGGAGAAGGTACTTTTGTTTTTAACTTTGTCTTTCATGGATTGTAAGTGAGCTCCCTAGAGTCATCCTATTAGATAGGTGGCTGTAAAAACGTGATAAATAAATAATAAATAAATTTGTTTTTATTTTAGATTTATTGTTTTACAGATTGTTGATTTTATTACAATGGTTTTTATTTAACATGGCTTTTATTATTTTTTTAACTGGCCTGTGCTTTACTGGGTGGAAATAATTGCTGTATTAATAAGAATGAAGGGTCCTTGGTGCTGAGCTTGGCCGTTATCTAGCAGACGTCCTCAAACTAGGCAAGATCATCAGTGTTACTAGTGCCTTATTTTACCCCTGAGCTACAAATATTCTTTATTGATTAATAAGAATCCATGTGTCCAAGACCAGGAGACAGGGGGACTGAAGTTTCTTCCACACCAAGGCTAATCTTTATGTATATGATTCTAATCCAGATTCAGTTTGGAGGAGAAAATAAAATTTTTTCCCTCTTTGTATGCTATTTCTTTTCTTTTTTGTTTTAAAAATCTTCATATATTTTATAGCAAATAATTTAGCTACTTGTGTAATTTGGCTTTTATAGATGTCTGTCTCAGGAGGAGTGAAGAATATTTTGCAT